AATCAGTATAGAAGTAACCAATCTTACACATATTCAGTGTAGAAATAATCAGATCTATTGCAAGCTGGCCAACATTTCCAACGGATACTGCTGGCTGAAATCATTTTAAAAAGTGTTTATTAAGGCATTGACATTAGCAGCACTTTAAAAAGTTTGGACAGAAGACAATAATCGCAGCACTAGTATTGAATATTATGTTCAGGTGCATCATACAGCTACATACTGACTCTTCCATTAGTTGCAAGTGAGGTATCAGCAGGGACCTCCTCCAGCTTTAAGACTACAGATTTAACACTTATTGAACACCTACTATGTGTCAATCATTGCTCTAGGCACTGGGAATGCAGTAAAACAAATCAAAAGTTCCTGCCTTGTTACGCTTCCATTCTAGGGAGGGAGTAGTTTACCTGTAATAAACAAAATAAACAGTAAAATATACAGTGTTAAGTGCAGTGGAGAAAAATTAAAGGACTGTGAGTGTGTGTGTATGTGTTTGGCTGCAATTTTAAATTGGGTGGTCAAGAAAAGAATCGCTTCAGCCAACAAGTAACTACAGACCTGAAAGAAGTAAGGGAGAGAGCCACACACAGACTGGGGAAAGGATATTTCAGCAGTGGGAAAGTAAGTGTAAAGGCTGTGAGGTCTGAACAAAAGTGATCTTGGGGCCTCTTTTCTGTTTGCTTTATTAGTGCCTAAAGGTTGCAGTGAGCTTATTTTCACACTATAAATACCACACACTTATCCCCATGACTTCAAATATTCCAACTGCCAAATCCAAACCTCTAGCTACAGCCTGTAACACTTACTAAACTCCAGAGCCTAATATGTGTCTACATATGGTTATGCCACAGGTAACTCACATTCAACATGTACAAAATTAAACCTTTGCCCAAATTTGTCCTCATATTTTGTATTTCAGAAAAGAGAAACAATTATTGAGCCAACTGCCTAAACCAGGACACTTCTTCCTTTTCCTTTACCAACCACATCTAACACACAACTAAATTTCATTGATTGTATTTTTTCTTTTTTGGCCTTTGTCATACTTTTCTGGGTCCTTCAGAGTGGTCTCCCACTTCTCATTGCTGTCATCTATCCCTGGTTATCTCCTGTAAACCCCTTTCCCTTCTCAAAGATTTTGCTACTTTGGTTAGATTCTCATTCTCCTGTATCATTTATCTTTTCCTCACTACTGGATTCTTCCCATCAGCATATGCCCATGCTCTAATATCTCTACTTCTAAAAAACCCTCCGTTGATCCCACATACTACCCTAACAACCACCTCACTTCCAGGTGTCCTTCCATAGCCAAAATTCCTCACAGTTGTCCACTAAAACATAAGCAGGAACTTTATCTCTGAATTAACGAACAAATATATACATATACACATCTCCACCTCTTCCCCTTTTAGTCAACCCACTTTAATATGGCTTCCCTCTTCACCGCTCCGCTGGTAGCTGTTTTTGAAGGTGTCAGTGGAAAGCCACCGGGTCTTCCACTAGTGTGAAGGTGCAATAGCAGGTGGCATGGTGCTTAAGAGGTGGTCTCAAGGGCCAGAATGCCTTGATTAGAATCTCAGTTACACCAATTGTAAATCATGTGACCTTAACTTCTCTGTGCAATGGTTTCCTCATCTATAAAACTATCTATGGAGTATTTGTGCGAATTAAATGAGTTACTGCATGTAAATGCACATAGCATTCAGCTTACAGGTAATAATAAATGGTAATTGTTGAAGTTAATAAATGGCATTAGTTGAAGTGTATAAAATCTAGTTCTAATATTTTTAGTCTTTTATCCTCTAAGGCAGGGGGTTGGTAAGCTGTGGCTCGCAAGCCACATGTGACTCTTTGGGACCTTCTGTCTCAAAAGTTTGCCAACCACTGGAAGAGCCAATCCTGTACCTCACAACAATTTAAAAATTATTCGAAAGCCATAAGTATATTTTTACATAATCACCAGTATGTGAATAGTATCCTTTAAAAATTTTATAAATGAAACTACGAGTTTTATTTTCATTTTCAATTTGACTTCAGAGCCATAGTTCGCGAGCCGGTTTGTTGACTCCAGGCAGCTCTTCCGTCTCAAAAGTCTTCCAACCCCTGCTCTAAGGCAATAACGGAAATTCCATCTTCTTTTAGTAAAGCCATCTTTCCTGCAGGAATTTCAATATTAAGATTATTGCTTTCTTTTTTTAAGAAGATTTTATTGGGGAATCGAGGAAAGGGAACAGACAAGTTGCTGTCCTTTTGTTCTTCAGTCTAGTTGTGAGGGCGTCGCCTCACTGGCCCATGTTGGTATTATTGCGCTCTTCCTGGGTGAGGCAGTTGGTCGCCTGCCATTGGACGGCCACTCATGGGGGCTCACGGCAGCTCATGAAAGCGCACGCCAGCTGCCGGCCAGCCCCACTGCAGCCTATGCCAGTTGGCTGGCAACTCACGGCAGCCCAGCTCGTTTGAGCTGTTGTTCACCATCTTAGCTGTAAAGGGCACAGCGTCACTGGCCCTCACGTGGGATCTGAACCGGGGCCCTGCTGCTCAGAGCTGGTGTCCCAAGCCAACTCTTAACCAACGCGCCACTCAGCTGGCCCTAAGATTATTTCTTGAAAGTACATGGTTAATAAGACTGACAAAAACAAAATACTTCTTCATTTGTCTTTCAATCCACCAATGAATGGTCTTTCATGCTCCTCTATCACCTCTGGCTATGACCTTAAAATGGTGAAAGATGACTAAGAGGCCCTCAGAGGAGCTGGCCATCAAACAAAGCAACTGGATGCTCCTGGCTTTCATGATCAACAGCTTTCCCCTAACTCAGCAGTTCTAAATTATAAACAAACAGTTGTCAGTGCAATATAAATCAAGCCTGTGTTCCAATTAATCAAGCCTGATAGTCTAATGAGAATTATGACTTTATGGCATGGGAAAAGCCTACATCTACAGCATCAGGCAACTCAATCTCTCCAAGCCCTATTGATAACATTAGTATTATGGATTCCATAATAATGTGAGAGGATGACTGAAGCTTAGACAATGTAGCACATATTAAACACATAGGAGTGAAGCCAGTGAAATTCACCTTTTCCTTTTCCCTTGTATTAGTGATGCTTACACATGCCAGTAAGAACAGAAAAGAGAGCTGAGGATAAAAGGGGAAACAAAAAAATCCCACGTTAAAAAAAATAGAAATCTCAAAATCTATCCAGGGACACAAGTACAATCTCTCATAGGCGTTGCCCTTTAGAAAAGGCTTAGAATTACAACTAGGATATAAGAGAATAGAACAACGTGACTGGGTTGTAAACTCTGCACAAAGCTGGCAGGCACTAAGTAAATGTTTGCTACAAAACAGTATCTGCAGTCTATTTCTAATTTAAAACAACTCTACTTAGTAGTAGAATAAAATATACTGAAGTCATACATACCTTCAGCATTTATACTGAGTTCTGTTGAATTTTCTTTTGACGTTGCATATGGATTGTTTCCAACCATTGGCACAAGACAATCAGTATAGAAGTAACCAATCTTACACATATTCAGTGTAGAAATAATCAGATCTATTGCAAGCTGGCCAACATTTCCAACGGATACTGCTGGC